ATATATAAAACATGAATTAATCTCAAAATATAAACATATTAAATGCAAAAGATTATACACTATATCACTATATTTATATTAAATGCTAGAAAGGCAAAGCTATAGTGACATAAAGCTTATTAGTCTCACCAGGGATGGGGGAGGAGTGTGGCTCAACTGCAAAAAGGGCGCAAGAAATTGATGATGGAGCTTTTCTGTATCTTTTTTTTTTAATTTTTATTGCTTTCAGAGAGGAAGGGAGAGGGAGAAAAAGATAGAAACACCAATGACGAAAGAGAATCTCTGATCGGCTGCCTCCTGCATGATCGGTGGACCAAGCCTGCAACCCAGGTATGTGCCCTGACTGGGAATTGATTCATGACCTCCTGTTTCATAGGTCCACGCTCAACCACTGAGCCATGCTGGCCAACCTCTTTTTTTTTTTTCTTTAATCCTCACCTGACATGAAGACATGTTTACTGATTTCAGAGAGAGAGGAAGGGAGAGAGAGAGAGACAGACACAGAGTGAACAAGCAAGAGAAAAACATTGATGTGAGAGAAACATGGATCAGTTGCCTTCTGTAAATGCCCCAACCAGGGATGGAACCTGCAAGCTAGGTATGTGCCCCGACTGGGAATTGAACCTGCAACCTATTTGGTGTACGGGACAATGCTCCAACCAACTGAGCCACCTGACTGTGGCTGGAACTGTTCTATATCTTGATTTTTGTGTGGGTTATATGATTCTATGATCATCCCTTGGTATTCCTGCCCCCCACCCCATGGATACCAAAATTTGTGGATGCTCAAAGCTCAAGTTCCTTAAATCAAATGGCATAGTATTTGCATATAACATATGCATATCCTCCCATACACTTTAAATTGTCTCTAGATTATTATAATACCTAATACAATGTAAATGCTATGTAAATAGTTGCTACACTGAATTGTTTAGGGAATAATGACAAGAAAAGAAGTCTGTACATGTTCATAGGATACAACCATTGTAAACCTAACTACAGACATACTTCAAACATATTGCAGGTTCAGTTCCAGACCACCGCAATCAAGTAAATATCAAAATAAAGCTAGGCACACAAGTTGTTTCACAGTGCATGTAAAAGTTATGCTTACACTATACTGTAGTCCAGCAATTTTCAAACTTTTTCATCTCATGGCACACATAAACTAATTACGAAAATTCTGCAGCACACCAAAAAATATTTTGCATATCCTATATAATAAAAGGGTAATATGCAAATAGACCGAATGGCAGAACAACTGAACAACCAATCAAAGCATAATTTGCTAATGATATGCTAAGGCTGCTCAACCGCTCACTATGATGTGCACTGACCACCAGGGGGCAGACAGTTGACCGGTCAACCAGTCGCTATGACGTGCACTGACCACCAGGTAGATGCTCTGACCAGTAGGTTCGCTTGCTGCTGGGGTCTGGCCAATCGGGACTGAGCGAAATGTGCTGGACATACCCTGGAGCCCTCCTGTGGTCCCTCCCCGGCCCGATTGGGCACCGGTGGGGTCCCTCAGCCTGGCCTGCACCCTCTGCAATCCGGGACCCCTCGGGGATGTCAGAAAGCCGGTTTCAGCAGGCCACTCCCCTTGGGAGGGCGCCAGACGCAGGGCTCATGGCTGGTGAGCGCTGCTGCAGCAGCGTGAGCCTCTCCCAATCGGGACTGACTGGGCGCGAGCCCGTGGCAGGCACAGTGGGGCCGGGATGAGCGGGAGTGGCAGGTAGGAGCTGTAGGCGATGTTGGACTGCAGGTTTCGGCCCAATCCCTGCAGGCCACCCAAAGGGACCCCACCTGTGCACGAATTCATGCGCCAGGCCTCCAATATAATATATTTGACTAAAAAAATAAGTATAATTTTGATTCATTCACACCGGATGGCTAGTGTTGTGTTGGCTGTTATCATATTTAAGACATCAGTGCCCCTAACTAAAGAGTCAGGTATAGCATGTTTTAAAAATTCTTGTGGCATACCAGTGTGCCTCTTACAGCACACCGGTTGAAAATTGTAGTGTATTAGGTGTACTAAAGCATTATTTGTAAACAAAATGTACATAATTAAAAAATACCTTATTGCTAAAAAATGCTAACTATTATATGAGCCTGTTGGAAAAACGATTATGATAGATTTGCTCAATGCAGAGTTGCCACAAACCTTTAATTTGTATAAGTTGCATTATGTACAAAGTGCAATAAAGCAAAGCACAATAAACGTGTACTATGCACTCTGTGAGGTATGCATAGTACACATATGCAACAATATATTTTTTACCAAATATTTTTGATCCAAGGTTGGTTGAATCCTTGGATGTAGAACCCAGATATGAAGAGCGAACTGAATACAATTATCAAAATTTATCATATAATATACTTAAAGAGGGTGACTTTTATTTTATGTAAGTTTACCTCAATAAATCTGAAAAATAAATATTTCCACCGAAGCTCTATAACAATTATAAATTATTTAATAATTATCTTATTTGTTCTGAAGACTGCAGGCTAGAAAGATAAAATACTAGCTTTTCTGCCAATGAGCTTCAATGTATGTCTTAGACATCAGAGTGAAAAATACAAATAAGAAAGTATTTACTTAGAATCCAAGTTGCTTGCAAATTACAACATGGGATGGAAATACAGATTTTGGAAGGCTTAGAGCAGTGGTTCTCAACCTTCCTAATGCCGCGACCCTTTAATACAGTTCCTCATGTTGTGGTGACCCCCAATTTCATTGTTACAAATTGAACATAATTAAAGCATAGTGATTAATCACAAAAACAATATGTAATTATATATGTGTTTTCCGATGGTCTTACTCGACCCCTGTGAAAGGGTCGTTCAACCCCCAAAGGGGTCGCGACCCACAGGTTGAGAACCGCTGGCTTAGAGCAATGAGAGACATTTTAATAAAAATGAAGCTCAAGATAAACAGTGGACAGAACTTTGATAGATGGATCACTGCACAAAGGCAAAGATGCAAAGAATTGCATATATAGGGTATCCAAAAAAATGTATACACACACTTTGAATAATTATAAAGGCAGGGTTTATTAAAATACATTTCATTTTCAAAACTGAGCTATCAGCTGTTAAAGTGTGTTTACATTTTTGGAGGGACACTGTAAAAAGTTTACATAGGTTTTGCTATATAAGTGTTAAACTTTATCATGCCGCAAAAATACCTGGATAACTTGTTAACTACAGATTTATAAACACTGCCTTTATAATTATTCAAAGTGTGTGTATACATTTTTTGGGACACCCTATATATACATATGTGAATATATTAAAAAATAGAAAATAAGAAGTTATCCTAATTTATAACTTACAGCTAATCAGTTTATTCTGTATCTTGAAAATAGATAGTACCAGTAAACCATCTTTTCAAATGCTTAAGGAACAAGTCTCAAAATTGGCCAATAGTAATATAAAACTTTAAATATTCCACAAACTAGAAAAAAAATACTGTGACTAAAAACAACAAAAAAGTAACACCTAAAAAACACATCCTAAAATAGGAAAACAAAAATCTTTCATTTGTAAATTTCAAAATTTACTGGCTTGAACAAACTCTTTGGTCAAAGAGAAAATTTGTAGAATATTCAGAAATATTAGTCAAAAAACTGTGTATCAAAATCCACAGATCACATTTGAAAAATGCTTGTTGAAGTTTTAGCATTAAGTGCTTACATTATTTTTAAAAGACATAAAATAATAAAGTAAGCATTTAGGTTAAGGAGTAATCAAAACAGACACATTAGTAAAGAAAACAAATTAATGTATTATAAACAAAACAGAAATAATAATAAATTTGTGAGTTGATTATTAGGAATAACTAAAAGGGAATAAAAGCAAAACTACAAAAATAAAAAATGACTATTTGGAAATAGTCATAGATAGAAAATAAGGATTTTCTTATTTTAATAATAAGAAAATAAAGTCGAGATTATTTTGCTCAACCCTATGCAAATAAATTTGAAAATTTAACAAATACAACCTATAAAAACTGAAACCAGAAAAGACAAAACCTAAACAGAAAAATAAACATAAGGAAAAAAAAGAGACTTGTTAAGATGTTTCATAATCGTAAAGCCCACGGCACAAATTGCTTAGCATGTGGATTTTACTAAACTTTTAACAAATTACGGTAATACTATTTAGTTAAAAATTCCCAATTCTTTAATTCATTAAATTTGCAAAAGCATGACTGGACTTAAGCTACTAAATTCCTAGTAAGCCAAAAGAAAACACAGAAATTGTATCTTCTTCATAATTAAAACCCCTCATATTTTTATAGGATTTATGTCAACATCCTTCACACGTATTTATCAGAATTGCATTTTTCATACTATAAAATGACAGTCCTGAACTGAACTAGGCAACATCATCTGAATACCAGGCAAAACAGTCCTTTCAACAGAATTTATTTTGTGGTTTAAAAAATATTTTCAAAATATAAATCAAAATCCTCTAATGTCAACAAAACTACTTTTGTGCTATAGTCCCTGAGTTGAGTAGTTGCAACAGAGATTCTACGATCTACAAAGTCTAAAATATTTACTATCTAACTTTTTATAGAAAGTTTACTGACCCCTGCCCTAGAGTGGTAATTCCTTCTTCTACCTGATTAGAATTAGGATGTATTGTTGCTCCAGCTTTAACCGCAACTAAATAGACAACTTGCAAGAAATATGGACCTTTGCCCGGCTGGTGTGGCTCAGTGGTTGAGTGTCGACCCATGAACCAAGAGGTCGCCAGATTGATTCCCGGTCAGGGCACATGCCCCGGTTGCTGGCTCCAACCCCAGTGAGGGGCGTGCAGGAGGCAGTTGATCGATGTTTCTCTCTCATCAATATTTCTCTCTCTCTCTCTATCCCTCTCCCTTGCTCTCCTTCTAAAAATCAATAAAAGCATATTTAAAAAAAGAAACAAAGATGGATCCTTAAAGGACCACCACAAAGACCAAAGCTACCATGAAATTTACTACTCACCACATAACTGTTATGTGACTGAAAAAGGAACTGGAAGTTATTGTTGATCAAAGCAGCATCCCAGATTTCAGGCTGAGTTGTTAGGACTGTCAGGTTTTAAAGGATAAGGAAAGTGCAGCTCCTGGGGATGTACAAGAAAACTTGTTTATGAAAAAGAACAAAGTGGTGATGACCCTTTAGCTTAGAAGCTAGAGCATACACATACATATGAGCATATGGAATAAAATATTTGTACTTTGCATCTAAGGCCAAACCCATCATACAATTTAAAGGCTGCACTTTCAGAAATGGGATACAGAAAGTAACTTATTTTCATAATTTAGTTTAAACAGAGAAACTCTAAGACTGAGTTCTCAGCGTTCTCCAGAATCACAACCCATACAGGTACTTTTAAGTGGGTGTCACTATGGCCTTGCTCCTTATTGAACAGTCACAGTTTTGAATATAATTTTGAGTATAACAACACTTTTCTCATAAATGTGAAGTCACGAACCTTGAGTGATATGAATAAAATACAAAGGAAGTTATTCTGGTATTGTTCATGGCTCAGAGTTCTTAAATTTTTAGAAGCTTAATATTTTACCTAGGTTATGCAATTCTAGAAGTTAATATTGTAAGTGTCCTACAATTATATGGTCATTCATGGATTTAGCAAACACATGTTTTTATCATTTATTGTGATAAATAGACCAGGGTCTCCAATTTTTAATGGGCTGTGTCAGATAAAAGGATCAAACCTACTCAGAAGCCCTTCCATTACTCAGAGGTAAGAGGCTTAGCATCTGGTTGGATAGTGCTATGCATTGATGAAACAGGTAATACAGAAGGGGTAATGGATGGAGGCAAACTGTAGGAGGGAAGAAATATCATTCTGACATTTTGGACATAAAAGAGTTTGAAGTTCCTGTGTAACCTCCAGGTGGGCTGTCCATTGGGCAGTTGGGTATATGGATGAGGAGCTTAGGACAAACCTCAAATAGGAGTGGACATTTGTTACTCGTTTGTCAGCTGAAGCCAAAAATGGAATGCTATTGCTCATAGAGTTCTTTGGGGTAAAAAAAGATGATCAAAGCCAGAAACTCAGTAATGCTAATAGTTAAAGGACAAACAGAAACATAAGTCACTAATGGAATTGGAGGGAGGGGGTTGCTCCTTGGTTTTGACTGGAATTATAAAAATGAAAGTAGTATCATGCAAGTCAAGGAAACATTCAAGAATGAGGCAATGATAACAATCGAAAAAGAAAGCAACAGAGCAAACAAAGAAATCTAATCCCCCCACCCCGGTTAAAAAGGGAAATATACCAAACAAGCAAGCAAAAAAATGTGATTCTGATCCCTGCCCTGGATGCTGCAACTCCCTACCCAACAACTATTTTTATTTTCTGTGTAAACCTCCAAAGTTTCTTCATGCAACTACAAATATACATTCTTATCTCCATTTACTCAAAAAAGTAGTATATTACATCAAAGATTGTGTATCTTGCTTTCTTCACATAACAGAATATATTGCAGACTTTTAAAATCTATCTAAAATATGATACATATTTCCATTTGCTCAAATCTTCTTTTAGGTCGTTCATTAACATTTAAAAACAATCTAAATGTAGGTTTTAAACAGTTATTTATCCCTAGGTATTTTATCTAATTTGTTGCTTTTGTAAATAAAATACCATCTTTTCTATAACTGACTATTTTTTGTATATATCAAAGCTATTATTTTGTATATGAATTTTTGTATTGTAGTACTTTATTTTTTCATTTTGTTGAAAAATATGTTGCATGATAAAATGCTGGAAGAAAGTGTCTTTGTAGATAGAAGAAAACTGTTTCACTACATTTACAAAGGCCATTTGGTCTGGGGAAAACCTGGTCAAATTAGTAGTCAGATTGCCATGCCAAGACAGACTTTAACTGTTTACTCTGTGGACGAAAAAGGGGCCACACGCTAACCTGACTAGCTCAGGGAAGGCCTGCATGGTGGCCTTGCAAACCCAGAGATCTAAAGTAACCACAAAGGATGGTCTGAAATTCAACTTTTTAAACTAAAAGTAGTTTATGGTGGGTAGTCATGTTCTAGGCCAGTATTACCTTAATTGAGCCTATTGTCTTTTTGTATTTATAATAATACAAGAGGCCCAGTGCACAAATTTGTGCATGGGTGGGGTCCCTCTGGGTGGCCTGCAGGGATCAGGCCAAAACCTGCAGTCCAACTCTGCCTTTAGCTCCTACCTATCGCTCCCACTCATCCAGGTCTCGCTGTGCCTGCCGTGGGCTCGAGCCCAATCAGTCCGGATAGGGAGAGGCTCGTGCCACCACAGCAGCACTCACCAGCCATGAGCCCTGCATCTGGTGCCCTCCCAAGGGGAATGGCCTGCGGGATCGGGCTAAAACCGGCTCTCCTACATCCCCCTAGGGGTCCCGGATTGCGAGAGGGTGCAGGCCAGACTGAGGGACCCCACCAGTGCATGATTGGGATGGGAGGGACAGGGGGAGGACTCCAGGGCGTGTCCAGCCCATCTTGCTCAGTCCCGATTGGCCAGACCCCAGCAGCAAGCTAACCTACCAGTGGGAGCAGGTGGGAGCATCTGCCCCCTGGTGCACATTATAGTGATTGGTTGACCGTCTGCACCCTGGTGGTCAGTGCACATCATAGAGAGCGCAGCCTTGTCATATTTTTAGCATATTACGCTTTGATTGGCTGTTCGGTTGTTCAGTCTATTTGCATATTACCCTTTTATTATATAGGATCTCTTTAGAATGTCAAAGTAATTTTCCTTTTTTCTAGACCCCTCAAAGCACAGACACTGCTCTGGGGAGACCACAAATCTCCTCATTGTTACTGAGTTAATTGACTGTTAACTATCCTACACCCACCTAAGTAAAATAAGTATGTGTATCACTTTACTTTTTATCCAATCCCAGAGGTTTCCCCACTTTGCTTTCTCCTGCCTCCCTAATCTATCACCAATGGATTTCATGTAACCCACTTACATCTCCTCTTTTTATTATAATGTATAAAACAGGGTGCAAAACTGCCATTTTCAGGAGCATTATCTCAATCCATTGAGATTCTGCTTCCCGACAACTATTGACAGTTTGGCTCAAAAAAACTCACAAAAAAATTCTTACAGGTTTGAATGTTACTTATGTTAACAACTTGATCTCTCTGCACAGAACAACTTGCTTCCTAATTCTGAGCTGTCTGTACAAGTGTGAATGACCAATTAAAGCTATTCCTTAGTCCAGAGCTTCTCAAAGCAGACTCACCAAAGTTCCTCCAAAGAATTAAGAAAAGTCAATACTTATAGGAGAATTTAGACACCCAGTAAAAAGTTTTTCGGGAATCTTTCCTCTTAAAAGAAAATTAATGCTGATTTTGTTTCTACACCACAATGAACGTGCTTTTATGTAAAATTGCTTTAAAAATTACTCATCGCTCAATTGCTTAGCCTTTTTATCTTTCAGAAAAACGGATTCTCCAGAAAGATGCATTCTTGCAATTATTTTAGAAATGGGAAAAGTGAGGTTTAGAGGTTATTACCCCACAAAACTCACATGCCATTCATCCTCACAAACTTGGAACTACACACTGTCTCACACAGGTTGTAACTACAACCCCCTCACACCCTCTTACACCTTTGGTCACCCACCCGCGAGTCCTCCCTTTTCCTCTAGTACCCCCACCTCTCCAGATAAGCTTTGAACACTACATGTCACAGTGGCAATTCTTCCCCCTCAGGCTCCCCAGTCCCGTCGCAGACACCGCGAATGCTCCCTTACAGCCTCCCAGCCCGATATTGAGCTCAGAAACTCAGGTCCCACAGCCAGATTCGCGTTTGGCGGAACCAAAAGCAAACTCACCAGCAAACAAAGACTGCGATGGCGAGCCGGAAAGTCTGCGCCTGCGCTTTCCTTGGGCTCCCACAGGTCTCCTGGGCTCCGCCAAGCAGGGGCTCACGATCGGATGGAAAACAGTTGACTTTTCTGACTGTGGACTACATTTCCCAGAAGGTTCAGAGGCTGGAGACTCGGAACTCAACATGCGTTAACTGTGTTAACCTCTGGGAGAGGCGGTCGTGTGCCTGGTAGCTCGGTTCTAGCACGCCTGGCTGTCCCCAAGTCGGAGCCACAGTGCGCGGCCCTGCGAGGAGATCCAGAAGCCGGCGGGACGCGGGTCTGGGTTTTCTTTGGCCTGACTGAACCCGGCGCCACCTAGTTTATCGCGAGGGCTTCGCTGAACTACATTTCCCAGGGGCACACCGCTCCTCCCCACCGGGAGGTGGAATGTTTGGGCAGAGCCGTACTGTTACCTGAGCGGGTTGGCCTTGTGGCTAATGCGATTCGGGGGATACAGAAGGTGAAAAGTACAGAGGCAGGGACAGTGACTGAGTATTGTTTGTTCAGGCAGAACGGTCTGAGAGGATTAATTGTGAAATTATGTGTGAGACTGTGTCCCAACGATGTGTTTGTGATTTTCTGTGATACTGTGTGCGGAGGTGAGGAACTTTGGTGCGGCTGAGTCCACACAGTATGATTGTTAATGTTTGACGGCCTGTAACTATGTGCGGGTGTAGGTTACCTGTGGCTGTGCCCCTGTGGTGGGTGTGTGACTGTGACTATGTGACCATGTCTTCCTCTTTGTGTAGGTATAGAGAGCTTTGTGGCTGTTCTTTGGTGACTGAGGCCCGGTGGGGATTGTGACTCAGCAGTACTGTGTGGGGAGGGGAGGGAGAGTTTTGTGACTGAGGTGTTACTGTGTGTCTGATGGTGGGCATGTGACTGTGCAGCAGTGTATGTGTGGATTTGGGAAGACTGTCCATTTGTGTTGTAGACTGTGTGTCACATAGTCTTATGTGGGAGCACTGGAGTTGAGTTCGAAGCCCTAGTCTCCTCTGATAGCACTCCCCTGGTCTGGGAAGGGAAAGTGGAGCATCTGGGTCTCAAGAAAGGTCTGTTGTCTCGCTCCCCATCTTTATCCTCCCAGTGAGCTCTCCGGAGGAGGAAATAATAGTTGTGACAACTAAAAGTTATATTTAAGCCCTACAGGTGTGGCTCAGTGGTTGAGCCTCAACCTATGAACCAGGAGGCCACAGTTGGATTTGAGCCAGTTTCTGGCAGGA